TCGCAGGGCTAACAGGCTGCACACACACACACGCACACATCCTAGCAGCCTTACATGGCTTTGACTCCATATTTTCCCGAAGGCTGCCGAGCAGCGTGCTTCCATAGCATCTCTTCATCGATCCCCAGGGCGGCCAAGACTTTGGAGAAACGGCGCTCCACGGCCTGGCGGGCGTTGGCCTGCGGGAGAAAGAGGCTGGCGTGGGTGTTTGTCCCAAAGGCAGCCGTGTTATCCAAACTGAGCCAGCCGGCCAAGCTCCAAACGAATAGCGCGGCCTGATGATCTTTTAGAAGCCCCTTTTGCAAGCTCGAGAGCACGTAAGGGGCGCTCTTGCAAAACGGCTGAATGACGTAAAGGAAGATGCTTCGTAAAAACCACCCTTGGGCTGGGTCCACCTGTTGCCCTAAGCTATGATCTGCTTTAAACATAGCTTATTCGATGGCCGAATAAACCACCATTTATAAACCACCGTGGATGAGTTCAGACAACACCTGAAGCTGAAATTTGGTTATGTTAACCATGGTTCAGTTCTTTGTTTTTTTGACCTTGCTGCTGGCTGTGTGTTTTATTTTCCCCGTTGTCAATTTCATATTAATTGAATAAAATAAAGTAAATACGTTGAATGAAACAAATAAATGCACACTGAATCAAATAAAGTAAATAAACCATGAAATCACTTGTTATTTAGAATATGTGACCTGGGTGCATAGAACAACTAGGCTTGGCTCGAAGGGGATGCAGTCGTTTGGGGTTCAAGATGCTGTGGGAGCCCAGCCCCAGCCTTAAACACGTTGCAGGCAGCAGACCCTTCTGTTAATCGACTTATTTACTGGATTCATGCCCCACTAACCACGAATACCACAAAATGACAATTTAATACCCATGTGAGTGACAAGAAACCAAAACTCTCATATCTGGCCAGAAACGAAAAACGTCAGAAGCAGCACTGCCTGTGTGTGGGGGGGTGGGGGGCAAAAGGAAGCCAGACATTGTGACATCCCAAGGAAGGCCCGTCCCTTTTCTACGTGGGTCGCAATATCTGCCCCAAAGAGGAGGAGCTTGGCATGCAATTCTGCAACGTGGCAATGGCTGCCAGATGTGAGCTGGCTGGCTGAGAACGGAGGGTGTTGTGTGAACCTGGCAGGGTTGACCCAGGGCTGGAGTTGGTAACCGTCTCGCCCCGGTTATTTCAGCCCGCCCCACTCGGTCCAGCAGAAGGGGCAGGTTGCAGACCTCACCGGTCAAGGAATTTCGGTTGGTGGGGTCTAGGCAGAGGGCCTTTTCTGCTGTGGCTCCCGCCCTATGGAACATCTTGCCTCCCGGGGTCCCGTGTGCCCCCTTCCTCATGGCCTTCAGAAAAGGGGTTAAATCCTGGCTCTGCCAGAAGGCCTGGGGGCCAGATGGGGGCTCGCATCTGTGGAGATGGCTGGTGGGGTGATGGGGTTGGTTCCCCCCCTCCAGCCTCTTGAAGGTTTTAGGGCAAAAAATTACATGGGGGTTTTAGGATATTTTTAAGGTATGTTTCTATTTTAATTATTTATGGATTTTAGCCATTGTTGGAGGGATTGGTGTTTTTTCCTTTTTGTTGTTGTGAGCCCCCAAGGGTCACCCGTTGGAGGAGATGGGCGGCGTACA